ATTACATACAACGCTATTGAAAAGAACATGTTTAAGCCATAAATTCCGGAAAATTGAACTGGACCGCTTTCGATTTTAAGGTGGCAGCAAAGGGGCGGAGACATTTAAATCGCATGGAAATGGATCATAAGCACATGGTTTTCCGTATTTGATTTACATTATATATGAAAAAGGCGGAGAGGAGGGTTTTGTGTTCATTGTGTACAAAAAATAAATGATTTATAACCATGCATATAATTTCATTAATTTGTATCCACGTAAGTAAGTAAAGTAAGTAAAGAGCAGAACATTAAGAGAAAAACAAAAAGTTCATAAAAATAAACAAAATTGTGATAAATATATGTCTGCATTTTGTACGCTTAGGTTTGTAGTGTCTTTTTTAAGAATTATTGGTAGATGAAAATGACACTGAAATACATTTTCATTTTCTGAACATAATGGACTGTCTTAGCGTAAATGAAAAATAATTTGCAACAACCTGTCTATAGGATAATCTGAAATAAGTACACACAATAAATCCATAAATGAGATGCCATTTGATTACTGGCAGAGATAATTTTCAAAAGAGTTTTGATCTTTATTCAGAGTACAAAGGACAATGCATTAAAGAAAATGAATTTCTGCTTCTACATTATCAAGCACTGCATAATTTTCTCTATCTAACGTTCTTTTAAAATTGTAATACTTAAAATCTCACTGCTCATGTAGTATTTGCTGTCAAGCAGCGAATTAACTAAATCTTAAAATAATTATAAATTATGTGTTCGAACCTACATGTATTTAAAAAAAATGACATTTTCACTTTTTCTTAATCATCTTGAATAATAATTGTGGACTAAATTAATTAGTAACGGAAAAATAAAATAAAAAGTTTAGGTTTTTTTTTTTGGTGTGACTGTGGGCTCCTACCCTGACCTAAAACTGGTCGGGCTCCCGTTTTCAAAATTTCTGGATCCGCCACTGCTATATGTACAGCATGTAATCGGCAAAATAATACCCCTTTTCTTTTAAATGCTCCGAACAAAAACACTGTAGTGAAAGAAGTCAACGTAAACTTTAAAACGCCAATGAACTGTTCGCAATGATCTTCAATGTTTTGAAAATGGAAGTACATGTAGATTTAAAAAGAATTTTCCAACGACTGACACAATGGAAGCGTATCGAACACTTGAATGTCACGTGAGAAAAGTGATTATAATATCAAACGGGTCACATGGGCTGACACTCGGTGACTTGCTAATTTAGTAGCTAACTCGAACGAAGTTTGGGTACATTTTTTTAAAAATTAGATATGAGCCGCAACTTGACCAACATTGTCCTTTGGATATGTATAGGTTTAAAGTAAAATACACATTCTGTGCAAATACGAAAAATGGTCAAGTTGCGGCTCGATGTAAACAAAGTCGTTGAAAACTGGTATGCATATGAATAACAATAGAAATGAGACAAAACTGTAAGACCCCCGTCTCAAAAGGTAGTGTCGCTCGGTATTATTTAATACTTTCATGTAATATAATACACCAAAACCTGCTCTTAAGACATTGTTTAATACCTATTAAACATAAATTTAATGAATTTTGGAATTTTATTTTGCGCAAAACATCGGGTTCCAACTCTCATAGCTTAAGTGCAGTCATTCTTTTCATACAAATCAATTGCTTGATCATATCATGAAACCAAAAATAATTAGACAATTTTCTTTAAATAAAATTTTATTATCTTCAAAGGCTTTAATTTCGCTAAAAGACAAAAAATGTGGTTTTACGTCAACCAAGTAATTAGTCTTTGGTATGGAGCTATCTTTCAATTTCCGAGTATACAAGTCACGTAATTCACAATCCTTAAGAAAGGTCATCATAAAAGTAAAACAAAAAACCTTTAATCTTGATACCATGCAGCAAATTTATCATCTCATATATAATATACCATTTTGTATATTTAAATGATGATGTATATCAAAGTTACCGTCACACCAATAAGCAATTAAGATAACGTTGCCTACTTTCAAAGTACATATACTTGACTTTTGGTGAAACATCTCGACTATCCACTGGAAGTCTACTTATAGATTTTTTTTTCATTTTCATTATTTGTAAAGTTTGTAAATTATTTCAAACTTATTTAATTTTCTGTTTTAAATAAATGACTAAATCTCTAAGATATTATTATTAAAGGCCCTTAATTGTGATAAATTAGAATTGGGTTGTTTATTCAAAAAGCTTACTTTAACTGTTTTGGAGACTTTAATTGAAAATGACACAATCACAATTTACATGCATGTAAATAGGTATTATTTTTTATCAATACTACATGTTTAGTGCCAGTTCAGATTATCAACAATCTAATAAGAATGAAATAAGTGCTAACAAAAATCATCGATGACGTAGCACAGTTTTATACAACCGTGCCTCACTGGGACACACAGCAGGTTTCACACAATTGTCATCTTTATATGTAGTTTGTTAACTTGTTTTATAATTTCAGTTCCCTCTTCAACGAAAGTAATTAGAGTAAAGTAATAAAATCTTGTTTTACAAAATCTTTTTGCATCTCAAGAAATGCACAAAATTTGAAAAAAAATAAATGTTGAAATAATAGTGAAATGTTTCCTTTTCAGCTAAGTATAACATGCAGATACTGTTTGACATAAAAAAGTCATTGGAAAAGTCAATTGTAATTGTCAGATATGAATAATTTTTAAATAAATTAAGTTAACTAGCTGATCAACCTACGAAACAACACAGGAGTCATCGCGAACTCTCCTCCTCTGCTGAGCTTGCCTAGATTGCAGCTGACTGGATAAGGCCTGCATAGGTTCAATATAGTTTTTTCTCAGCCAACTCATCTTAAACGTCATAATTTTCTTCACAGTGCGAGACTGTCCACCAATCATTATGGATCGCGAAACAAGCATTCTATTCGAAACAACCCCTAAATCGAAAAACTCATTGCCTAAATTCCCACACATTCCATCGTTCTGAAAGATGATTTTGTTGATCAAAACATCTGGTGAAAGAAGGGAGCAAAACACGAGGAGTTCCAGCGTTTGTTCTTCGGACAAAGCCCAGTGGCGATCATAGTCTCTAAGCATTCGTATGTTGGCGGAATCAGAGTCGTCCAGTTGTAGTAATGTGCATATGCAATCAAGGTAATACATAAGTCTTCCTTTGGGTGTATCAGGAATTGTGACTCTTGTGCCAGTGGCTTTGAGATGAATTTTCGTATTCTCCATTGCAAAGGCCATTTTCATCAATTTTTTTCGCAACGATATGTACCTTATGATTAAAAAGCAGCAATACACTGGCAATCAGAAGAGTCACTTTCATTTTATATAGTTGCCTATTGACGTCCTTAGCAGGAAAAACGATAGCATTTTATCATCTAATAAGTAGGGTATCTGAAAATCCCCACTCGTTTATAATTTCATATTATTATGTTTACTTTAGAATCACATCAGTTGGTAGATAAACAAAATTAACAAACTTTAAATTTTCAAAAACTACAATTTACAAATTGCTTTGAATTTTGTCTATGTCTGTATTTCAGATAATAAAAAGGATTTTCTGTCCTTTAATCGAAGATTCAGGGGTATATACTTTTGCCCGTCTATCTGTCTGTTTGTCAGCAAAAACTTTAATTCTGTCCTTTACTTTTGAGTAGGTGGGAATATTGCTTTCATGTTTCACAGGTGTATTTTTATGTGACAAGACCTTTTTTTTTATATCATCAAATTTAACTTCGTATCCTTAAACTTGGAGTTTGACCCACTTTTACAAAATAATTCGAACTTAGACCATAGCAAAAACGTTTGAATAATTGGTCTAGGACTTTCATACTTCACATGTGTATTCACTGTATTGCATTAACCTTTAGATCTTGACCTCAGAGTTTGACCCACTTTTAAATAATCATAACAATAATTTTTGACTGATAGTACTAGGACTTTTTCATATGTATATATGTTTTGTGACAAGACGTTCCTTTTGATACCAATCATTTTGACCTTGATGTTAGAGTTTAATCCACTTTTTAAAATTTTTAACCTTGACTATTATGTTTGAACTGTTAGTTCTATGGCTTTCATATTTCACAGGACTAGTGTATTCCTTGTTACATGATCTTCCTTAGGATACCAACAAATTTGACTTTGACCTTGGACTTTTACTTGCATTTGAGAAATTATAGCCCTCAGGAGAAGCTGCCATACGAGGGGCGTCGGTGTCTCACAAATACCCTTAATAAATTATGGGATGCAACCTGCCTAATTTTAATCTCAGAGCATTTCTATAAAAAATTCAAAAATTTCGCAATAATGAATGTACCATTTTTTTCTAACCGGGATGCCAATTTCACCCAAGAAAAAAATCGGGACTTTTAGTCGAGTTCGCGATGATCATCAAGTCGATATATGTCTTTTAGATTGCTCATGCATTATTATAATAAAAGCATCGTCATAAATTGTACATTTGAAAACCAATATTTACCACGCAATAAAATAAATGATTGTCCCATATTATATTTTAATATGCGTTATCAATTTTTGTGTTTTTTTCCCTACCATCTCGTGTCAATAAAATATACTCATCAAACTAAGGTCATTTGAATATGTTTAATTCGAACTTAATTATTGACCTCTTAATTGTATAAAGACTTTGCGGAGAAAAACAATGGTGGAGAATATATGATATTTATTATATTTTGATATCACATAGATTATCTTCGATAAAGCATGCATATAAATGTAAGGTAGTATATAGTGAAGTATTGTTTCCTTATGTGAACAAGAAAAACAAGTTTTTTATTCAGTAGATGCTTTCGACCATAAACGCATTTTTATTGGTTCAGTTTTCTTTTATTTTAAGTTTGTACTGTATGTACATTTATTTACTTGTCTATTCAATATAATATCCTGAATTGTATACTTTAATTAAAAAGAACTCTATTTATATTTTCATTTAGTTTTAATATGTCTAGGAAATAAATAGATATTCATTCCAAAATACTGTAGGCCCCTAATAAAAAGACTGTAATAAAAAATAAAGTAATCAAATGAGTTATTCAACAAAACACATCTTGAAAGAAGCTTTGTACAGCACAACATTTAACGTTATTGGATTCACAAAGGTTAAATCAGATCTAGTAGTTCCTTTTGCAATTACATGTATATACACACAACGTAGTGATTTTACTCCTTGCATTGATATTACTTCACAAAATAATGCAACTGTCATCATTTCGTCTTCGTGCAGCAATTGCACGCCTTCGTCTCTCCTCCGCCTCTTCCATTTCCCGCGCCATGGCTTGCATGGGTGTGATGTAATAAGTCCTTAACCAATCCATTTTAAAGGTCATGATTTTTCGGATATTTCTTGTTTGACCACCAATGACGATCGATCTCGAGACTAACATTCTGTTTGAGATGGTTCCAATTTCAAAGAAGTTGTTGCTTTTGTCGCCACACATTTCATCATTTTGGAAGAAAACCTTGTTCAGAAGCACGTCAGGAGATATCATTGCACACAATATCAGGAGCTCACTTTTTTGTTCTTCACTCAAATATCGATAGTTTTGATAGTCTCGCAGTCGTTCAATATTCTGAGTGTCCGAGCTGTCCAGTGCTAAAGCATTACACACGCAATCTAGGTAATACATAAGCTTAGCTCTGGGATCATTTGGTACCGTAACTGTACGCCCCGTCTCCTTTACTTGCAAACGAACGTTTCCAATTGCGAAAGCCATTTTGTCCTATCACATATATGTCCAGAATGATAATAGTGTAATTATTCTATTGCAGTCAATATTTAAAGATTTGCGTTCTTCTTTGGGGGATTTTCAGGTAATTTCCTCCAAACAAAGTCTACTTTCAATTTGTCTTGTCTCATTCTGAGCTGCTTATTAAACAAGTATTTAAAATGAGATGATAAACAGGAAGTCGAAAAATTAGAATAAAAAATGTTCTTCACTGAGAGGATTACTTTCATATTATTTTATAATTTATATTAAACTTGGACCAACTTCCGTTTTGAGAATTTTTTAAAAATATCACAATAGAAAATACATATATATGTAGAGAGTAAGCTCGATAGACAATCAATAACTTGTACGCTTAATATTTGTGGCTGGCGTAAATCATAGATTTATAATATCCGTGAGTGATTTATGCTCACATGATATAGCTTATATCCTATTACAAACTAAAGTGATACTGCAAATAAAACGCTTGACGATTTGTTGAGCGTGAAAATATGTACTTGTACAACAATACATGAAGAAAATTCGTTACGCTTAATTCATAAACAAAAGATGTTAAATTAAACTCATGGATTTGAAAAACCCTATAAAGCATACTTGGACTACAACAAGAAAATATATTGATAGTTAAAGTTTTTGTGAAATCAATCTTAAGTTTATTATCAAAAGACCTCGAATGACACAACGGCGTGCACAAAAATAACGTAACGAACTAGAACATATCTATATTTAGATTCTGAAATTTTTCTATTCATTGCTGAGGTATTTAAAAAAGACAGACATGGTTATGACGAGTTTTTGTTTTAAATAAAAGTATTGCAAATATTTACGACATAATTTTTCTTCTGCCAAAATTATTGTGATATTTTGTTTCAGCACTTCTTTACTGTTTTATACAGTCTAACTTTATCAGTGAAACATGTCTAATCCGACATGCACTGGGAGACATATTTTGAGTCGGGATAGACTGGGTTTCGGATTGCACAGTGTTAAAGGTGTAAAAAAAAATGGAAAAGAAATTTAACGTCGGAATTCACAGTGTGACGGATTGCAAGGTGTCGTATTGGACAGCTTTCACTGTACATGTAACTTTACAAGTATACATATAAGCAATATATTTCAAAATACGTATAAAACAACTGTTATTCACAATACCTTTCGTTGATGCAGTCTGACATATGCGTCATAGACAGAGAACATACATGTAAATGAATATCTGTTTAAGAGTTCTGAATGCTAAATATATGTTAAATTTATCTGCCGTGGTACTCATTAAATTATACATTTATATCGAATATTCAATTGCGATAAAATATTGTTTTTTTTTTCAATACATGGAAATACATTTTTTGAAAAATTATGTTATACCTGGTACATGTGTAGTTTTAACAAAAGATACTGGGTATTACAACTGTGAAAGTTTTCTGGTGTCAATGATTATTGTCAAACTTCAAATAGTGATTTGTGCAGCTTATGTGAATTGTCCTCTTATTTGTGCACCTCCCATGTTCTTTTTTTTAAGGGGAGATATTGTATCAATTTAGTGAAAACCGTACAAATGCCCAATTTTAAATTGCAAAGTGAGTGATCTTAGTATATTCTTAAACTGTCTTCCGATGCTTATCTTAATGTATTTACATTGCTGATATGCCTCTATGTTTTTAAAAGATAATAAAGGCCATCATCATGCAAAGGAATAAGAAAAAAAATAAACTTCTACATACTAATCAAATAACTTTAAAAAGATCGTTATTTTGTGTTGGAAAATTATTTTCAATGAGGAAACGAATTCGGGCATCATTTGGTCGAATTATTCGTACCCCTAAGGGTCATATGTGAAACTTCTTCATATCTCAGATTCTGAAGTGACGTCATCATATAAAAATATCCAACCAAATGCAAATATACGGAAGCGTACTTTATTTTCAAAGTACATTAATATGATCAATATAAACGAACTTTGAAAATAATATTATTTTTTCAAAGTGCATTTACTTTCAGAGTGCGTCGTACCATCTTTATTTGTAAGTGCTGGAGTAACTAAGTCTCCATTTTCGAGCAGAATTACTACTTTCTCATAATAAGTATCACAGGGTTACTTATTGACAGTTTACAATTACCAATAAGTAGGTATACATCTTGTACTTATTGGTAGTTAATTAATGTTCAAGGTTGTATAAGCAAAGCCTTGTAATGTCCAGAGCAAATTTTGATGTGGCTTGAGACTATTAATCACCTTTAAAAAAAAACATACATCACAATGAGTCTACCTAATCATGTTTTGAAATAATTTTAATTTGAAGTGCTTTAATTTCTTTCAAAAGGCA